AATCCTCTAAACGAACAATAATCCACAAAAAACACACGGAAAGTAAGGAAAATGAGCCGTTTTACATATTGTAAACGTAGCACGGAGGTAACGTAGTGACGTCACGTATTCGAGCGTTTGACATTTTATTTAGCGAACATAGGCTTAAATGGGATCGAGCAATCCTCTTGTATAAAATCCTTGGCGCACACGAGATGAGGCAGGATAAAGAGGGATAATCCCCCTCGATCCCAAATCATTGAGGCCAATTTCTAGCCATAGAATAATGGCGCGCGGTCGAATCCATTAAAAAAAATCAGCGTATAAAGGAAGTTTTCTACTTTACAACGAAACCAAGTTTATTACAAAATATTAAATAGAACAACCAAAATACCGTTTAAAGAATAAAAAATTATCTGCTTCAATTGGTCAGATCGAGACGCTTTTTTTTCTTAATTCATATTTTTTTAAGCAGTATTTGATGCAATTGGTTTGAATTCTATATATTAAAAAATTGCCGAGATAAGGACCCCGCGGTTACCTTATTTTTTGATTTTTTGTTAATAACTCTTTTATTTCGCAATTTAAAAATTTAAAATTTACAAAAGACGCGAGTTAATGTAATTAACGCTCGCGTTTTCGACTTTATAATTTTGCAATAGGCCGCCATTTTGAAACTGGGGGACCGGATTGCTGGTATTTGTTGAGCACCCCAACAGTTATCTTTTTCTGTAGTTTCATCCAATTTCAGTTAAATTCGCTCTTTTTTATTAAATGCTGAAAATTTCGCTTATTTTTTTTTCACCTCTAATTTTGCAATCTAAAAAAATTTTTGCGAGCTTTCGCAAAAGCCTATCCTTATAGCAAATTTCCTCAGGAACAAAATCGATAAGTATACCTTGTGTCGATCAGAGGCTTATTTTCGGATAACCTTTTTGGTTAAAATCACTCAAAGAATCAATCCTTAAAGTTTGTTTACGTATTTAATTAACAGCTCGAATAATGTTTAACTACTATAGTTGTTCGTTTTATACTTTTTATAAAACCAGATATTTTTTAAAGAAAGTAGTTATTTTTTACCACAGGTACCTAATAGTAGGAGAGGAATGATAATTATTTCCTAAGCATAAAAACAACACTAAACACTTTTAATTAAGTAATTAAACTCGGGTAATAAATTCCCCTGAAATCATGACATGATATAGGATATTATAAGCAGATTAGAGGCTATTGATTATTTCCGTACCATCGATTAATAATTTATAAAATAAAGTATCAGCAGTTTTACCCACGAAGTTCTCAATATTTCACAATATAGGTAAGTAAATTACTTATTTTATAGATGTGTACGACTACATTCCTAAATATATTATAATTTTTACTAAAATAATTTAAATTAAAATTTAGTTGAACTCTATTTTGGTATTAAATGTAATCTGCAATACAGGGTGTTAAAATTAAAACTTCCTACCTGGAAAATATCGCAATTGAAAGAAAAAACAAAAAAACCTGAAACACGTCGATTTTGATGTCTCGGAAGCTGCCCCTTAGACAGGGGCGTAAAATACCCTTAAACTTTAAATGGCACTCTATGTTGAGTGACACCTCATTTTAAAGCTATTTCAGTTCTGTTCACGACGATATATGACTTTTTAAATTTTGGTTTGGATATGACAATAAAATCATCACTTAAAAAATAAGATAAAATATCAATTAATTATAATAATTATTATTAATCTTAGTATTGACAAATTTAAAAATAGAATAATGAAACTGAAACCAACAAAAGTTAAATAATTATATTCTTGCCACATCTATCAATCCACATTTACTTACACGTCTCAATTCTTTTACGTACGTTCATAATTACTTTTTGTAATTGATTTAGAGAAATTTCTACACAGGCTTGCATTATCCTAGCATGTAGTTTGTGGTCTTGTTTTATAAAAATTTTGTTTCAATAAACCTCAAAAAAAATCTAGTTGCGTCAAGTCCGGGGATCTCGACGGCCACACAGTTAAAGGACTATTTCATCCTATCAACAACATGTTCTTTTAACCATTCTCTCACCGCAGCAGCGTTACGAATAGAGCTACCATCTAATTGAAACTTCAAATTAAAGAGATTTCTTAAAGGCAAATCATTATTGCGTTTAGAAATTCATTATTAAGAAGATGTAAAAATCTTTTCACGTTCAAATTGCCGTCAAAAAAGAAAGGGTCAATTTCACTAAACGTTAATACTTAACGTTAATAATTTTTGCGAATACTGCCTATTTGTGTTTATAATGAATTCTGGATTCTCAGCTGACCAATGACCACAATTTTGGGACAAAACTATCCCATTTATAGAAAATGTGGCCTCATCACTACATAAAATTTCACTTAAAAATTTAGAATTATTTAAATATTCTGCCTGTAGCCAATAATAAAACTCCAAACGTCTTTTTTCATCTCCCAATTCTAAAGAATTGACGAATTTTGGTTTAAAAACATTTATTTTATTTTTTGCCAGGCACCTTCTGATACTTTTTCTAGGGATATTAAGATTTAAACTAGCCACTCTAATACTAGCCCGAAGATTATTATTAAAATATTGTAAAATTGGGTTATTTCTCAAAACTGTACGACTAGACATAATGAATATGTCTAGTAAATTTATTGAAACAGTCTTTTTATTGAAAACTTTATTAATATACTGTACTCGTCTGTCTGGGTGCCTAGTATTAAATTCTATTGCAGCATAGACCACCTAGACTGGCTTATAGAGCGACTTTGCTGAAAACACTTTGGAACCTGATTTGGAGCCCAGCGCTCAGTCGTGTCCTAGCATTTAACGCGTACGCATCGCCGTAATTTCGATAATTAGACGTTTTATCATGGGCAAGTGTATTGTAAAACATTGTATAAATAGAAGTGATCGAGTTGGTGAAGAGAGACAAAAAGTTTCCTTCTTTAGGTAAATAAAAAAAAGGAATATCTAAAAGGTAAATATGTACGCCATTTTTCAGTTGACGTCACAAGTTTCCAGGGTTAGCTTTATAATTTTGTTCGCCCACATAGTGTAGTGATTAACGTGATATTGTTATTATAAAATAATTAATGAATTACTGTAAAATATTTTTAGTAATTATTTACTTTATGTGAGTCTCAAATTTTTATGAAATTTTACCAATTCCCGTCATTTCGACATAGCTGAAAATTAATTAAATATTTTTTTTAAATTGAAAAAATCGCAAACAAAACTAATTTCAGATTCATGTTCAGCACCCTGGAAAATGTGAGTTGGTAAAATGTGATTAGAAAAATCAGACTTTTGTGACAAAAGAAAAAATAATTAAGTACACTTCTATTTTCCAAACCTAATATTCAAATTTTTACAAATTTTCAAGGAATGTTGACATAAAACGAAGATGGGTGAAGACTATTAAAAACAGGACTGGACACTACAAGTAGGTACATTATAGTATATATTGGCGGTTTCGTAACACGTTCTATAATAAAGCCAATAAAATGTGAAGACTGTGTAAATAGTTTAATGTCAAATACACAGTATTCATACAGTCAATTAATTTTTATTAAACATCGTGGTTGTTTGACGTATCCATCTCGAGATGTCGTAGTAATATGCCAAGAAACAGAAAAATTAATAAAATTTTTTAATAATGATGAAAGCAGAACACCTAGGCTACAGAAAAATAAAATTGTTTATCATGTATTGAAAAACTTTCTGAATGTGAACATATTTGATAATTTGCCTAACAATTGTAATCTTTTAATAGAACTTGTAAGGGCTGAATGTGAAAAGTATATCGATGTACGAATAAATCATGAAGTCAAAATTATTTAATTCGGTAAAATCTACGAAAAGGCAAATATTAAATAAATTAATATTATTTAGACAATAAATATATTTAAATTATTTTGTAGTTTTATTTAATATGACACTAAAATATTCTATTTTCTGAATTATAAACTTAAAATTGAAAATTTGTCATAAGATGCATTATATGTTTAATATGTAATAAAAATATTACTTAATCCGGATCTGCTTAAAGATGCGCGCGATCAGATTGCCTTCCACACTCTACTTCCCCGGATTTTGCATTCACTGGTACCCCTGCATTGGAATTAGATACGGCCAGTCTAGGTGGTCTGTGGTTACAGCCATAAGAGTAACTATTTAGTTACTCTTATGGTTACAGCATACAGCACCTTGGTGCCAAATCACAGAACTACAAATGAGGTAGTTGTAGTTTGAAACGTTTACAAATTAAGATTCTTAAAAAGTGTAATAAAGCATGTAAATCTGGGAACTGCTAAATAAACTATGAACACCAAAATTCAGCATAAATATGTCTAGATGCCCAGTCCAAACGATATTTGTTGATAGAAGTCTAGGAAAAACCCTGCATCACCTTCTTAGAATTAAACGCATTCGACACCTGAGGTAGAAAGACATTGACGGTCCAACGTTCATCATAGCAGCTTGCAGTGCACTGTTTTGCAGTTACGGAGGGCGTGTTTCTTCATAAGTATATTGTCCAGTGTAATGTTTTATCAAAACAAATCAATGGAGGTAAAAAATAAAAGAAAGGCATTTAATTCCCAGTTGAAGAGTATCATGCTTAGTGTGTATAATTATTTTATTCTGAAAATAACGTGGAAAATTTCAAGGCACGCCTCTGCTGCGGTAAATTATTACAGTAGTTCTGATAACAGAACTTTATTGGCTTATTCTTCTCTAGGAACTCTATCTCAACAAATATAATGCAGACTGTATTCTTTTGAGAACCGACAGATGATATATCGTTTATTTCCACATGCCTATATGAAAAATATTCCAATTCTTATTTCCAACTAATTCACAAAAATTACGAACATATTTTAAAAATATTTATTGCTTAACAACTACAGCTTATTTATAGCAGACAATAAAACGCAAAGTATACTTAATAAAATGAATAAAGTAATATCAATAAAATAGTATCCATAATGTTATGTCTACTGAAGTCTTAGTTCTTAATTAGTTAAATGATTCATATTAAAAGAAATACATATTTCTACTGACGAGGAGGCAAAAATCCATGTTGAGGGGAAGGTTGTGTAAATCCTTTAGAGTATGGATTTCCTTGGCCCGAAGTTGAATAAACACCCGGAACATACTGTTGCTGCTGTGGATATGGCACACTCCCTTGTGGCTGATTTGAATATGAATTTGAACTGGGTATTTGAGAACTATCCATAACTTGGGGAACATATCGTCTAGAAATATATATTAACAAATTATATATGTACCTATACATACTGTTACAAATTTGCTTCTCACTACAGGGATCTTGGAAACGGTAAGAGATACGAATTAACTTAAATGGGTGCAAGGTTGCGTAATCAGGGGACCAACATTATGCCTCTAAAAAATCAAGGCTAACATGATTAGTTTTTGAAATATTTGAAAAAAATCGAAATTTTGGAAATCTATTTTTGTTTTATTTCAGCCTTATTTGAGGTGATATTGAAAAAAGAACACTTTCTCAAGGCTAATTTTTGCCCTCTATCGAATAGCGTAATCAATTTTTATATGTAACGTTTCGTCTCTTCAGGACTATCATGAAATTCATTTTTTTAAATATGACCCTGGAAATTTTATTACATTTTTTGCTTTGTTTATTGAATTATCGTACACTGTAAGTGTCGTTAGACCCTGTGAAATCTAGTTATTTAAACTATTACCACCACACATTAAAATAAAACATTATTAGAGTTTTATTCCCATGTGCATAGTTGTTTCTAGGCTTCTCGAGTGCTCAAAATTCAAATTCCAATCTTTTTTTTTTTTAGGATATTCATACAAATACATCTGACATGCTCTTTCACAGTTGCGGTCACAGATATAATAAATTCTGATAATATTATGCTGATCATCATTTTCAACCTGTGCCAAAACTAAAATGTTTTTGAACATCTGAAATTTTTTAAAGAGTAATATTTAGTTGGCGTTTTGGTTGTGCATATGCATTTTTATGAATTAATTTGCCATAATAAAATTAAAATTGTAATAATGTTATAATTTTGACGTAACAACTTATTATGTATGTATGACCAAGTGATGGTAATAGATAATAATAATAATAAATGTTTTATGGTAACGCGTGGTGGTAATAGTTTAAATAACTAGATGGATTTCACAGGGTCTAACGACACTTACAGTGTAAGATAATTCAATAAACAAAGAAATTTAAATAAAAAAATTAGATGAATTTGGAACGAATACACTGAATATGAATTTTTCGAGACAAAACGTCTGAATCTGATTCGGGCTGAAGCAGTACAGTATTGGGGGTCATGAAGGCTTGCAAAAAATGTAACAAAATTTATAAGGTCGTACCTATTAAAAAAAATGAAGTTTATAATGGTCCTGGATAGACAAAACGTTACATACAAAAATTGATTATGGCATTCGATAGAGGCCAAAAAGTGGACATGAGAAAGTGTTTGTTTTTCAATATCACCTCAATCAAGGCTGAAATGAAACAAAAACGGATTTCCAAAATTTCGTTTTTTTTTTAAATATTTCGAAAACTAATCATGTTAGCCTTGATTCTTTAGAGGCATAATGTTGGTCCCTTGATTACGCAACTTTGCCCCCATTTAAGCTACTTCGCACCTCTTACCGTTTCTGAGATCCCTGTAGTGAGGCGAATTTGTAACATCCTGTATAGAAAATGATAACTGTTGATGAACTGATAGATAATTTGTTGATAAATTTTTCAAGAATTTAGTTAGTAAAAAATTGTAATCCTATTTACTTAGATTGTATTCTGGGTATGTATATTGCAAATGAAAGAATAATTAATATTAGAATAAAATTAACATGACTCATATTATTAATACTAATAAAAGACCAAAAAAAATTTAAAAATAAAGATATATTTTAAATATTCATCTGCTACAAAAAAATGCTCACACAAATATTTTTCTTTTGTTCCTGAATTTAAAAAAAATGCTATTTTAACTACCGACCAATTATTTTTTTTTAAAGGCAACAATATTTTTGTAATAAATTCAACATATTTTTCTGTTCTACTGGGAACTAAATCGATTGATATTAGAAATCGTTTTTTCACCTCAACAATATTAATAATTACAAAAATGATAGAAATTTTTTCAAGAAAAACTTTTGCCAATATTAATAAGTCGATTTTGTTCATGATAGAACATATTAGACGGTAATATACATTTTGTCTAGATTAAAAAAAAAATACAAATTTATGATGGCTTTTTGTTCTCTACTTTTTAAGAACAAAATTGTTTATCTTTTCTGATTTCCTATAATTTATTGTCATAAAACCAGAAAAAATGATTTTAAAATCTGTTTAATAAATAAATTTTAAAGTAGAGAATAGACTACTTATTTTCACATTAGTTCTATGAGGAAAGGACCTCGCACTTATGGAAAGTGGCTTTCGGACAATTTTTTTGAAACTTCGCAGATTGATAGTTCTTAATATGTAGATCAAAAGTCTCAATGGGCACAAAGCCCCAAATCCACCCCTTCCCCCAAAAACTAACCCCAAGTAGCGAGGAGTTTACTTGTCGTTTTATGAAAAAAAGTTTCAAATAAAAGTTTTTTATTTCAATAAAATCTAAAAAAAACTATTCTTGTTTTTTTTTCAAAAAATCAATGTTTTAGCTTTAAAAGGCCACCAAAGTTTAACACAGAGTATACGTATGATAGCTATAGATATACACGTGTGTTAAGTTTAACAGCGTTTTACAGCTTGAATATTACTTTTTACGTCAAATTGAGTTGCAATTTGAATTCAGCGCAAAAAAATACGTGCAAAAAATATGTGCAAATAAACGTGCAAAAAATACGTACAACTATAAAATCAGTAATCTGGAAAATCCGTAGGCTCATTGGTGGGGGGAGGGGTCAAGTGGGGTAGTTTAATAGTCAAAAATGTGGTTGTTTGGGGTCGTTGTTGGGTTGATTAAAAAAATAAATTGTTTTACATGCAGAAATCAGTTAAATGCTACTTGGAGGCAGTTTTTGGGGGGGAAGGGGTGAATTTAGGGCTTTGTGCCCTAAAAATGTTAAGAACTATCAACCTGCGAAGTTTAAAAAAAATTGGACGAAAGCCACTTCCCATAAGAAAAGTGCGGGGTCCTTTAAATCAAAAGTCTATCAATTTTTTTCTTCATTAAATTACGATGCATTAGTAAAGTTCTGTAAATTTTGACATCAGTACAAATTTGGACTGCATTGCATTTGAGCAAACACAAAAAGTATGTAGACATTGTCATACCAAATGATTTAAAATATATATATATATATCAGAATACAAACATGCAAACTACAATATTCAGGGCATCTGGTATGAAACAGAGCTTACCCAGTCTGCTGAAAATTATACTGCTGATAAGGCAATGAACCGTATTGTATGCCGGGGAAGTTGGCACTTGACGATCTTCCAAAGTAGTCACTCATATTATGTGGGTTAGCTGCTGAAGTTACTATGGATTGCTGCCCTGGGGTAGAAGTCATGGAAACCGACTGTGGCCTAGTAGTGGAGTTATCACTGTTAACTTGAGGAGTAGGCGGTTTGGAGGACTCTTTAACATCTTCTGTTCCATTCTTTAAATTTTTTTCTTGCAGGGGATCGAATTCACTAGAATTCACCTTGTTCAAGGATGTATTTGAAGGGTTGTCGACATGAGCCTGTTCGCCCTGTTCTATTTAAAATTTTTCATACAATAACCAAAAGCATTTAATTTATACCAAAATTATACGGGGCGTCCCACAAGGAATTGCACAAACTTTAAAGGAACAAAGCTCTTTGCAAGTCATCCTCTTTCGTGTAGTCTAATTTATACTTCTGCATACTTGGGGAAAAAAATTACTCTTGTCAAATTTTTGTATTTTTCTGATTTCGAAACAAATTGCTTAATAGAAAATAGTTTTTTTTTTAAGAATTTTAACTATCATTTAATGTCACAAATAATAAAAAATTGTGAAGATTAATGTTGGTTTTCAAACTATCCATCATCACATACAATTTTTCTTATTTAAAAGTTATTGTTTCTAATTTCATTTGTAAAGGACCCCCCACTTTTCTTATGGGAAGTGGGTTTCGGCCAATTTTTTTGAAAGTTCACAGGTTGATAGTTCTTAACATGTAGATCAAAAGTCTCAATGGGCACAAAGCCCCAAATCCACCCCTTCCCCCCCAAAAACTGCCTCCAAGTAGCTGGGGGATTTAACTGATTTCTGCATGTAAAACAATTTATTTTTTTAATCAACCCAACAACGACCCCAAACAACCACATTTTTGACTATTAAACTACCCCACTTAACCCCGCCCCTAACTAATCAGCTTACGGATTTTCCAGGTTACTGTATTTTATAGTTGCACGTATTTTTTGTACGTATATTTGCACATATTTTTTCACGCTGAATTCGAATCTGCAATTCAATTTTACGAAATCGGGTCAGGAAAATTGTTATTAACAATTTAATTGTTTATATAGCTGTAGAAAGTTTATTTGTCATTTTATGAAAAAATATTTCAAGTGTTATTTATTTTGGCAAAATCTAAAAAAAAGTTTTTATGTATTTTTTTTAGAAAAAGTAATATTCAAGCTGTAAGACGCTGTTAAACTTAACACATGTGGTATTAGGGCGGGTAAAAAAAATCGACTATTTTTTTTACTTTATACTCTGAAAAATAGGTTGCTAGACACCTCTAGAAAATTCTCTCCAAATATGAGCTCTTAATTTTAATAGGAAGGTCCTCCGCTTTACAGTTTTCCATTTTTTCCTCAGTATTAGAAAAAAAATTCATATCTCTCTATCAACTGTTTCGTTAAAAATATCTCTCCTCATATACTTGTAGGAAATTGAACGCTCTACAAAAAAGGTCTCTTAAAATTGAAGTTTGATTATGTTAAGTCAAATTTCTATTTTGCTTATGAATTTTATAAATATTTAAATAAAGCGTTTAAAAGATATTCATCGTCAAACTTCAATGCACGCCAATTTTAACAGTTTTTGATTAATAATTCCGAAAATTTCAATTTAGTTTATGAGTTTCAGGGAAATTTATACAAATTTGAGTTTCTATGAACAGAGAAATGTTTTAAACTATTTTTCTAGTTTTTTTTTAGTCGTAAGCATGTTTGGTTACATCGAAAAAAAAATTAGTATATTATTTCTGAGTCAATGATTCACTAAATCTTGAAAAAATGACAATTTTGTTAGAAATTTATTATGAAAAGTATTAATCTTAAAGGAAAAAAATGTTCAATTTGTTATTGAAAAGATTTTTTATTTAATCATCAAGCGAGTTATAAAATTTCAAACATTTTGGTTTTGTGCTGATTTTTTTTTGAAACTTTTTTGTAATTTTAACCATTGAGTATGATAGCGAAGAATTCTTTTGACTGCATTAGGAGTTTCACTAGTTGGAATCAGATTTTTTCCATGTATATTTTGTGCAAAAAAGTTTTGAAATACGTTCTGAACAGTTTTCAAAAAAAAAATAACAACACGATCGGGATTTTAAATTATTAATTATAAAATTATAAAAATATTATCAGAATAAAAGTTTCAAATAAATTTTTAGAACAAAGAACTTCTCTATAATGGTTACTTTTACGATAGAAACTCAAATTTGTATAAATTTCCCTGAAACTCGTAAACTAAATTGAAATTTTCGTAATTATTAATCAAAAACTGTTAAAATTGGCGTGCATTGAAGTTTGACAATGAATATCTTTTAAACGCTTTATTTAATCGACTAATCATAAGAGACTATTTTTGTAGAGCAGTTAATTTCCTACGAAACTATGGATTGCGCATTTCATAATGATTTTTTGTTAACGAGTTATAAAATTCATAAGCAAAACAGAAATTTGTCTTAAAATAATCAAACTTCAACCTTTAATATCTTTTAAACGGTGAGGTTTACGAAAAAATTGTAAGAAACCTTTTTTGTAGAGCGTTCAATTTCCTACAAATATGTGAGGAGAGATATTTTTAACGAACAGTTGATAGAGATATTAATTTTCCTATTAAAATTAAGAGCTCATATTTGGTGATAATTTTCTAGAGGTGTCTAGCAACCTATTTTTCAGAGTATAAAGTAAAAAAAAATAGTCGATTTTTTTGACCCACCCTAATGTGTATATCTGTAGCTACCATACGTATACTCTGTGGTAAACTTTGGTGGCGTTTTAAAGCTAAAACATTGATTTTTAGAAAAAACAAGAATAGTTTTTTAGATTTCATTGAAATAAACAATTTTATTTGAAACTTTTTTCATAAAACGACAAGTAAACTTTCTACAGTTATATAAACAATTAAATTGTTAATAACAATTTTCATGCTCTTTCGTAAAACTGAGTTGCAGATTCGACTAACCCCAGATACGTAATCAGCGATATGCAAAACCCATTATATCGGTGAGACCAAAACTGTTGGTATTTTAAAGAATACGTGCTTCTATAAAATACAGTGATCTGGAAAATCCGTATGGTGATTCGTAGGGGCGGGGTCAAGTGGGGTAGTTTGATAGTCAAAAATGTGGTTGTTTGGAGTCGTTGTTGGGTTTATTAAAAAAAAAATTGTTTTACATGCAGAAATCAGTTAAATCCCCCCTTTACTTGGAGGCAGTTTTTGGGTGGAAGGGGTGGATTTGGGGCTTTGTGCCCATTGAGACTTTTGATCTACATGTTAAGAACTATCAACCTGCGAAGTTTAAAAAAAATTGGCCGAAACCCACTTCCCATAAGAAAAGTGCGAGGTCCTTTGTTAAACATGAATTTCTCAAGTTTTGATTATATTAACAATGTTCAGATTTAGTTTTCTAGTATTTATTAATTAATCAAAATTATTTTGAAAAATTCTGTGTCCTGCAATTTACTCCAAAAAATTAAATACGAAAATTCGATAAGTGATTATTTTTGTAATTTTTTTTAATCTGGTTTGCAAAACACACAGGTAATAATTACAGGTGTAGAAGTTAGGCCTCAGAAAATTGTACTCCAAATATCTACAGCACTTACACATTCTGGAAATATTAAAAAAACCAATTTTTTTAAAAAAAATTAGAAGGCTCACTTGCTTATTATTATTGTTACCTGATGAATGTCCACTTCCTTGGGGGACACCCTGTATGTTATACAGGGTCTGACAAAATGTATTAATTGTTTTATTCAGGGTGCATACTAAATTTTGATAAAAAGATTTAAATTCTTCCAGGTTTTCCAGGTAGATTTAAAACAATTCCAGTTGCGAAGGTGTAAGTTTATAGCTTAACAATTTCTGAGCTGTTTGGAGAAACATATCGCTCTCTTCTTCATAAGAAACTCTATAATAAAAGCTTTACATCAGTTTCCACGTTTCAATTAGTTTTCCCAAATTTTTTCTCAATGTCTCCCACATATCTATCTAACAAAGTATGATTGCACCAAATAGGGAACATTTTTATCTATGATTTTCGAAGAACCCTTCTAATAATTTTTGTTTATCTGGATACCAAATAAAAGCAACCTAAATATACAAAATTTTTGGTTCAGAAAGTGACATTTCAATAAGCTAAAATTAAAAATATGTTTACACGTTTTATGGAAAATATGTGAATTTTTAGCTAAATTCTAATAGCTTTAATTAACACTATTCAAGGAGAAGAAGAAGAATACTATTCAAAGTCAGCAATATTTTTTTATATACAGGATGTTAATTACAGTTTAGCCAAAGTTTAATGGCGTATTCTATAGATGAAAATAGTTTTTTTTCAACTTTTGCCCTATAAAAATTTTTGATAGGACGCTTCTCTACGGAGATTTGGGGTTTTAAAAGTTTCAAATATTGATATTAATTTTCCTGTAACTTCAATGGCAAAGAATCCCAAGGACAGCATTTTGAATAATGCTTGTGATGTTGTGTAGTGTTTTGAAATCTCTCAAAAATATTAGGGTATTGAATTTGTTACACATTTAGAAATCAATAGAATATGGTAAATAGCTACGTAGGTACTTAAATATCTTCTTATTTGATTTCCCAATTATCTAAAGACCAGTAAAATTTACAAATACTTTACAAGAATACTTCACTGCCTTTTATTGTACATTTTAAAAACATTTAAATTATTAAAAAAACCAGTGGCGTATGATTTTTTTTCAAAAATGGTCCTCTACTCCCCCAATAACTATGCCACTGGAGTATATTTTGGAATAAGTTACCCATGAAAAAATAGTATAACCTTGTATAGGAACTTTATAGGACTTAATATTTGCCCAATTAATTATATTGATAAAGCTTTAATCTAATTAAAATATACTGGGTGTTACATGTTTTATTTGGAAAATTTACCATGTGATATAACACACAATTCTAAGCAAAAACTTTGAGACAGAATGCTTTGTTTTCGAGGTACGGGGTGTTGAAAATAAAAAGAATCAAAATTTTTTCAATTGGGCTACAAATAAAGGAGTTACAACTAATTCTTAAAAAGAATCTGCAATTATTTCTGAATAAAATCCAAATGAACTGAATTTCCCATTTAAGCTTTTCTGTATAGCTAATACAGTGAAAATAGGTTATAACATTGCTTTATACGACGTATTGGATATAACCAGCGCCGGACTGGCCATAGGGAAAAAAAGGTAAAACTGCCGATGGGCCGCGGCCCGAAAGGGCCGCTTGGCCCAACATTTAATTAGATATATTTCAAAAATTTGAAACTTTTTTAGAATGGAAAGCAAAGACTGTGCTGTGTGCTGCTATACAATTAACGCTTAGTTTAGCATAAAAATATCTCTTAACTCTTTCTTTTACGCAGATGGCTTTGTGAGCGATCATTTACTATTTTAAAATTTATCAAAAATTGGTTGCGGAATTCCATCGGACAAGAAAAATTAGAAGCTTTTATACTTATGAACTCTGAAAAAGATATTTTAAACAAGATCACAATTAACACAGTAATTGACTTACTGACTTCAAAACATCCAAGTTTTAGAAATAAGCTTTTACTATAGTATTATTTCCAGATTTGTCAGATGTATTTTAATCGAAATTGTTGAAATGATTAATACATATGATTTAACAATACGCTTTCCTTGGTTTTATTTTCGTACAAATAATTGTGGTTTATTCTAGAATTAAGTTCTTAGAATACAGCTCTCATATTTTCATGTCTTATTTAATATAGAATACAAAATCGTATTCTATCTTTCAAGCTTGATGGATTTAGAAAAGTTTCTTGTAAAAAGTTGCCGAGTAAAGCGCTTAAAAGTAGTCGAATGCAAGTAAAATTATTCACTGAAAAAAATAAAAAAAAATCATAAACTAATTGATTGATGAAAAAAGAAGAACACTTTCTCATGGCCACTTTTTGCCCTTTATCGAATGGCATAATCAATTTTTATATGTAACGTTTCGTCTCTCCAGGACCATCATCTTCATTTTTTTAAACACGACCTTGGAAATTTTATTACATTTTTTGCAAGCCTTCATGACCCCCAATACTGTACTGCCTCAGCCCGAACCAGATTCAGAAGTTTTGTCTAGAAAAATTAATCTTTAGTGTATTTGTTCCAAATTTATCTAAATTTTTTATTTAGATTTCTTTGTTTATTGAATATTGTATACTGAAAGTGTCGCTAGACCCTGTGAAATCCATCTAGTTATTTAAACTATTACCACCACGCATTAAAATAAAACATTATTAGAGTTTTATTCCCGTGTCCATAGTTATTTCGAGGCTTGTCAAGTGATCAAAATTCAAATTCCAATCTATTTTTTTCAGGATATTCATACAAATACATCTGACATGCTTTTTCACAGTTACAGTTACAGATATAATAAATTCCGATAATATTATACTGATCTTCATTTTTAACCTTTGCCAAAACGGAATTGTTTTTGAACATTTACTGAAGTTTTTTAAAGTAGAATATTCAGTTGGCGTTTTGGTTGTTCATATGCATTTCTAAGAATTAATTTGTCATAATAAAATTAAAATTGTAATAATGTTTTAATTTTGACACAACAATTTATTAAGTTATGTATGACCAAGCAATGGTAATAGTTAATAATAATAAATGTTTTATTGTAATGCGTGGTGATAATAGTTTAAATAACTAGATGGATTTCACAGGGTCTAACGACACTTACAGTGTACGATAATTCAATAAACAAAGAAATCTAAATAAAAAATTTAGATAAATTTGGAACGAATATTGAAGATGAATTTTTCGAGACAAAACGTCTGAATCTGATTCAGGCTGAGGTAGTACAGTATTGAGGGTCATGAAGGCTTGCAAAAAATGTAAAACAATTTTCAGGGTCATATTTAAAAAAATGAAGTTATGATGGTCCTGGAGATACGAAACGTTACATATAAAAATTGATTATGCCATTCGATAGAGAGCAAAAAGTGGCCATTAGAAAGTGTTGATCTTTTTTCAATACCACCTCAAACAAGGCTGAAATGAAACAAAAACGGATTTCAGTTTTTTTCAAATATTTCAAAAACAAATCATGTTAGCCTTGATTTTTTAGAGGCATAAGTTGGTCCCCTGATTACGCAACTTTGCCCCCAATTAAGCTACTTCGTAGCTCTTACCATTTCCGAGTTTCCTGTAGTGAGAAGCGAATTTGTATCAGCCTGTATATGTCCTTTTAATGAACAGAGTAGGTTTTGGAATTTATTTTTATTTGAGAGTTACCAAAATATAGCACAGTAACAAATTACAATATTTTGTATAATTTTATCAAATTGATTTCAATTTTTACTCCACTAGTCTCCTGATGATAAATAAAATGTATCTGTGCTCTCTTTCTTGATGTTTTTAAACGTATATTTACATGTTCTGCAATTTAAGTCAATTTTTTATAAGGTGATCAACATATTTTGTCATATCCTATATAATACTACAAAAAATTACTAAAATGAAAATTTTTCTAAGGAATTTTATGTGGGTAAATTTTCGCAGGTTATTTTTTAAATCCGTCATAATTTCAGATTATTCTTTGAGGCATTTTAAATCACAGAGCTCTAATGAACTAATGGTTTTCTCGGGTTTTTAGGCTACTGGTTTTCGAGATGCCAGATTTTTAAGTTTTTTTTTAAGTTACTTTAAGTGCATCTTAGATGCACCTGTAAAGGGTTCCTTCTAAATAAATATCATTTTAGAATTAAAAAATATATATCACAACAACCATTAATTTTCATTTATTAAAAGAAAAAGTTAATAAATATAGTTCTCTTGATAGTTGAACTCATGTTTAAAAAATTAAAAATATACTCCCATTTCAATGATAGGTCTTATTAAACCAGTACCATTAGATATACAAGACAACTTTATTTGTTGACATTAGCTATAGTTTTGGATGTTAGGCTATCGGCAACAAGGGGCAGTATAGTCAACGCCTTCAGATTTAACAGTGTGCCTCAAAAAGGGGCATTTTGTTACTTACTTAAACTATTACAATACACCAACCAGAGTTGGGCAAAATACTTTCACAATGTATTTAAAATACAAATTACAAAATACTAGTACGGAAGTATTTTAAAATCTTCAAAACAAAATTACTTCTTTGGCAAAGTATTTTAAATATAAATTACTTAGTATTTAAAATAGTAATTTAAGTACATATGTTAAATATTAAATATATATTGAAAATATTCAATAACAATATTTAATATTTTTGTGAAACTCAAGATTGACAAAAAAATATGCTGTAAGTACAAAGCAAGCAAGGTATTTTAAATACAGAGTGGCCCAAAAGTCACGCAACCGAATGAAAAAAAATGAAATTACGTAGCAAAAATACAAAATTTATTCTTTAAAAAACAAAGTATACAAATTATGTTTGAAGCGAGATAAAAACCAACTCCCTGGTATCACAGCTTGTGTTCAAAGTGCCCTCCATCTTCTTGGATGCACTTCAGACATCGCTTTTTAACGGCTTTACAGATGCGCTTCACTAAAGGTTTATCATCATTCATTTGGGCGACTTCATCAGTTATGATGTTTTTCATGGTCTCGATATCCGGTAATTGATTTTTGAACACCCTGGGAGTCAGGTCCGGAGAACGTGGAAGCCATTCGATTTGACCTCTTCTACCAATCCAATTCGGGAAAAAGTTATTGAGGAATTCGCGAATGCCTCGGAACATGAGAATCAGGAAATTTTTCGGCGAAATCGGAAAGAATGTTTCGATACTCGGCATGATAACGATAGTATGAAGTCACTAAAAACACACGCGCGACCGTAAACCGATAAAGTGATCCCGTTGCCATAGTTACAAATTTGTATAGCCACAATATCGCTTTGCACACAGACAACCGTTAAACTGCCGATAGAACAGCTATGAACCTTGTATTAGGGAGGAAACGGCCCATGCGGATTGCACGTTAGCGTTGCGCGATTTTTGGGCCACTCTATACTTTAGAGTAATTTAAATATTCAAGAGTATTTAAATTATTTTTAGAAGATTTTAAATACTTTTTTAAATACAAAATACATTATTAAAGTATTTGAAATACAAAATATATTTTTGGTTACAACAAAACTATTTTAATTACAAAATACAAAATACTATTTTATATTTAAAATACTATTTGGTATTTTTTTTTTGTCAAAATACTACTGATAATTGCATAATAATTGGTCAAACCTGAGGATGTCAATTGCAATGCCCCCTGGCCCTGGATCCTGAGGGTCTACGTTAAATTTGTAGGCAAGTATCAGCTCTTACTTTGACTTATCTGATAGCGCAACTTATAAAAATCAATGCGTTATATACAATACTAATACCAGATCTGTAGTAAAAGCAATAAATATCCATAAATAATTATCTAATTCAAGCACCTACCTTGTATTGAAGAATGTTTATTTTCATTCACATCAATTGAATCTAATAACTTGTTAACTTGGTCTCTTATACTTCTAAGCTGCTTCTTCAGCTTCGTAACTTCAGGTTCTGATAATACACTTAAGCATTCATTTTTCAAATCTGAATTCAATAAAATTTGCAATTTTAATATACGACTACACTGAATCGCAAAAGATAAGTCGGAACTGTCAAATATTGTAATAAGGTCGCCATCTGAAAAAAACCTAATTTACTGTATCTGTTATTTTATATTTAAAAAATATATATATATTTTAATATTCGACAATACCTTCATCTTTGTATTTAATTGTAATATCATCATTTGCAGTTAACTTTCCCCTAAATACTCTCTGCATCATTAAAACAAGTTCGTCGTACGTAATTGATTCATTGTGGATAGGAATTCGACGAATATCATCGCCAAGTTGCACTTTTATTATTAATTTACCACTAAGATCTAATTCACTTTTCATATCCATGTCAGACTGAAATAGATAGTGAAATATCTAAGAAAAACAAGTAATTTACTTACACTTTCATTAAAAGTTTGTCTTCTCATTAAATATTAAAAATTTATAAAAGACAAAAATTGACTTAAAAACAAGATTAAAGACTAATATTAACAAGAAGTTAAGATACCAAGATGTCAAAAATTTTTTATCAGATTTTTTCAGCTGCTTCAGTGCCTACCTACCAATAGACCACAAACTTTAGAGAACTACCTTAGAATTGTATTACTAGCTGCTTTCAATTGCAGGGAGCTGCTCCTGAAGTATTCATCTACTGTTGTATTCTTTAAATACTCCGAAACTATGTTAATGAATTTTCTCGTTTTCTTTTGAGATTTCGTGCTATTTTAGAATTTAGACATTCTTTTGCATGATGTAATGTATAATAGTTTTACCATGTAGTGCATATATAGTGCTGTTAAACTTATAGTCTTATAGTGCATATGTATATGTTATCCCTTTTCTTTTACTCATGTTTTCGGAATCATAACGTGTTACGATCCAATGGAAACCAATCAGATTACTAGATTTCGGATCGTAACGCGTTATGATTCCCAGTTCCTAGCGGGCAGCCGACCAGAGCACACGTGTTTTGTGAAAGTGTAGTGCAAGG